ATTCCCAGCAGAGGCATAAGAATAAAGGCTAAAGGTGAAAAAGAGCTTGGGGAGTGGTGGTGTTGCAGTGACAGGTGGAAGCTAGGGAAGCAAGGTTCCAAATTACCCAGGGAACTAGCTCAGGTTCTCTTAGTAATCATTTATCCAATCTCAACCAATTGAACGTTTTAGCACAGCACAGTGAGAGTTCTCTGTGCTCACCATGCTGACAAGCTCAGTGAGAATTTCCTTCTCGAAAATGGTTCTCTTGTTGAACTCGTCAGTGGCCAGTCAGCACTTGTACACCTCACTCCTCCATGAGGCACACTGGATGGCTCAGCACAGCATTACAGAGTTAAATTCATGCTCTTCTGACACGTTGAAAACTGCCTTAGTATTAGTAGCTATAATTGTTACATACAGTTAATTCTGTTATTGAAGGGTAGATTATTCCATTTTTGGATTTCCTAGGCTTTTATTCGCTTGCCTTAGATAATGTCAGTACTGGGCAAACTGCATGGATTCAAATAACAGCTCAGCTGCCTACCAGCTTGGGTGAGCACAGGCAAGCCAATTAAGTTCTAAATCTCAACTTTCCTTATTGTAAAATGAGAGCATAACAGTCCCGATTGTACAGGGTTGTTAGAAGGATGAAAGGAGTTATTAAATATAAAACTCTGAGCCTGGAACAGAGTGAGTGCTTGCTGTTAGCTGGTATCATTGCTACTAAATTATTACTTCTATGCTTTCATTTGTAACTACTGGTGAAGCAAGTATGTAGATAATTCAAGAAGCATATGGTCATAACTTTACGACCAAATACAGGTCTTTCTTGCTTTTCAATTATTTCTACTTTTTCTACAGCTTTGGGAGACAGTATTACCATCCTTTCCCCTCACTAGTTCTATTGCCAGGACTCAAATTCCCCCCTTTTTTTCATTGATGTAGGCTGCTTAGTTGTTCCAGTGTCTAAGCAACAGTATGAAACAGATACCTTGAAGCAACTTCTGACCTGGGCCTGAAGAAAGCTTCCTTTACTTCCTACCCACAATTCAGGCCCTGAAGACATGTAGCCACCTGCCTCTGTACATCACTGTCATTAACTGATGAGTGAAAGGAATACTTTGAATGTCAATGACATATTATAGAAAACTTCCAGTAAGCAATTTTCATTTTAAAAAAGATATCTCTGTCTCTAAGGCCTTTAATCAACAACGACAGGACTGTGGCCCCAAGCCACAGGACAGAAGGCACCATTCTTTTTTTTTTTTTTTTAAAGATTTTATTTATTTATTTGAGAGAGAGAGAATTAGCACACATGAGAGGGGGGAGGGTCAGAGGGAGAAGCAGACTCCCTGCCGAGCAGGGAGCCCGATGCGGGACTCGATCCAGGGACTCCAGGATCATGACCTGAGCCGAAGGCAGTCGCTTAACCAACTGAGCCACCCAGGCGCCCCAGAAGGCACCATTCTTATTAAACGGTGTGAAAAACACTTATTCATCGAGTTCTTTCAAAAGTTTATTGAGCACAGAGATTTTCTCAGAAACCATGGCCTTGAGTCTTTTGGCAGAGATCTGATCAAGAGTGGTATATTTTAAGAATTCTAAAAGCAATTTCATAATATTGAATCTTAATCTAAATATAGGAGCAGGGATACTCAGTTCAATTAGTTCTACATTAGTAATCATGTTCAGAACCTTTGTGCCCTTCATCACTCCATTCCTTAAAAGGGTAAAGACTTTATGCCCACAATATAAGAACCATGATGTTTTAGTAATAGATGAAAACAAGAGTGCTCTAGGGACAAAACTGATGCTGATAACCTGTGGCCTCCAAACCGATTCCTACCAATGTACTTTGGACATAAGTGCAAAGCCTCAGCCATTGCGCAATGTTGACTAGCAAACCAAAAGATGTTAGGTACAAACTATCCAGATAAGCATTTCTAATTCAAATGCCTTGCAATTTTTCTGGGAATCTCTCTGGTGCTTTGTAGTTTAAAAACATGCTTTCCCTCACATTCCTTTTTTTTTTTTTTTTTAAGATTTTATTTATTTATTTCACAGAGAGAGAGACAGCGAGAGAGGGAACACAAGCAGGGGGAGTGGGAGAGGAAGAAGCAGGCATCCTGCCGAGCGGGAAGCCCGATGCAGGGCTCGATCCCAGGACCCTGGAATCTTGACCTGAGCTGAAAGCAGACGCTTAACTGACTGAGCCACCCAGGCGCCCCTCCCTCACATTCTTATTTTAAAATAAGAAGAGAAGTTAATTTGCTCATGATCACAGAACTAAAAATGGCAAAGATGGTACTACAATTGTGATCTTCTAATACTGGTTATTATGCCACTATTGCACACTGCCTTTTTTTTTTTAAGATTTTTACTTATTTATTTGAGAGAGAGAAGAGAGCACGTGTGTGCGAGTGGAGGGGCAGAGGGAGAGAATCTTTAAGCAGACCCTCCACTGAGCGCAGAGCCCGACTCGGGGCTCAATCCCATGACCCTGAGATCATGACCTGACTTGAAAACAAGAGTAAAACGCTCAACCAAGGCACCCAGGAGTATCCCCCCTTTTTAACATTTTTATTTATTTGAGAGAGAGCGAGTGCATGCTGACTTACTAAAGGGTATCATGTTCTCCTTCAGTTATTTCACTAAAAATGAAATAGTCAGGATAATTAAGAACAGATCATTGTAAATCAAAATACATTAGCATATTTTCCTTTCTTCATTGACCTGGGACTAAGCTTGATTTCATGTCACTGTTTTCACAGCACAGTCAACAAGACAAGGTTAAATGTTGAGTGCTTTCTGTTTAAAAAATGCAGCTAAACGAAACATTTGAACTTAGAGTTCCCTTTAAATGACCCAACACCAATTAAGTATTTCATAGGATAAATCCTCAGTTCTTCAGAATACTGACTGCCAAGGTTGAATTGTATTAAAATGAGCTGTTTAAAAAAAAAAGAAACTTCAATTAGTTGAGTTTATTTTAAACGTTTTCCCTTTGGATTTTGTTAAAGATCACTTCTACAGTGGCAGCAGTGAAGGTTCTCACTTCCTTGTTACCTGAACAGATACCAGCCCAGGCTAGATACCGCATCTGGCTCTATCACTCAATCATACATCATTGTTTAAACCTGAACACCTTTTCAGCTGCAGATGCTCAAATATTTTAACTTTACATCAATGAACAAAGTCGGTAAGGATTCTGCTCTCATGGAACTTACATTCTCATTGTGAAAAGACAGAAAAGAAAAATGAGTCAGCCACTCAAACTCAATGACTAAAAGGTCACACCCATAGGGATTTTCACCAAGCACTTTAAGCTTTAGGCTACCCAGCCAAATCTGTAAAACAATAATTCCTGTAAGACCACTACAGTGTTGAAAGACTTTCTCTTGCCCATAATTTTAGACACCGCTTTCTCTTCTCCAAAAGTGCTGCGTAAATGATAACCCCTCTCTAATTCTGCTCCACTAGATAGGCTGGCTTAAAGAGCACACCTTGACAGGGGGCCAAGGAGGAGCTAAATCAGGGAGAGAGAAAGTGTGAAAGCCCAAGCAAAACTGTGCTGCCAACAGTGTGAGGCTGCGTAAAGGACAAACTGTCCTGCGGGCTTTGAAGACGACATGCAAACGATCGAGGCACGCCTAACAGGCCAAGGCTTTGCTGCTTTAGTCAATACCTGGCTGGAGGTGGGTTGGACGCTAGGTTCCTCATTAGGTGGTACTTAAGGATACAGTCCCAAATCGCCTTGAGTGAATTAATCGTCTGGCTCAGGTCCTCAGGAATTACTAATTCGTTTTAAACTCGGTACTTTTTTATTGCAACACTCAGCACACGGTGTGAAATTACATATTTGTCATTTTTTAAAAAAGATTTTATTTGACAGAGAGAGAGAGACAGTGAGAGAGGGAACACAAGCGGGGGGAGTGGGAGAGGGAGAAGCAGGCTTCCCTTGGAGCAGGGAGCCCGATGCGGGGCTCGATCCCAGGACTCCAGGATCATGACCTGAGCCGAAGGCAGACGCTTAACGACGGAGCCACCCAGGCGCCCCATATCTGTCAGTTTTTTGAGTGACACCTGTCTCTTCCTCAGACTCAGCATCTGGTCTAGCACCTGACTCTCAGAAACTGAGGTGACAAACTATTTACTAAGCGAGTGCAGAGCGAGGGGGAGAGGAAGAACGGCGACTTCCCTACAAACAAAAAGGAGGTAAACTACACCTTGACCCTTCTCTATGCAAAGGCCACGCGGCCCAGGGGTCACCGGCGACTCAGGCGGTAACACGGAGACGGGGTGGGGGGAGGGAAGGGAGGGAGGATGCCACCCACCAAGGTCAGGGGATGCAGAAGCGAAAGGTGGGTCTGAAAGCCAGAGCCCCCCAGGAGCCTTCCCGCCGTGTACTTCCTATCCCCCCCCCCCCCCCACGACCGGCAGCACGCTGCGGCCTCGCCAACCTTGCTCAGGGCCGAGAGAGGCCAGGACAGGTGAGCCCCGCCACGCCCCAGGGTAACCCATCAAGGGCACCCGCGCCCCTCCGCGCCGCAGCCAATCGGCGCGAGGCAGTTTCGGCTGCGCGGCCAATCGGCGCGAGGCAGTTTCGGCTGCGCGGCCAATCGGCCCCAGGCCGGTCGGCACCGCAGCCCCGTGTGTTCTCCCCTCGCCACCCCACCCCCACCCCCACGGCGCCGAATCCGCGTCTCGTGACCCCCCCACCCCTGAATGGGAGTCCGGGTGCCGTAGAGGGCCACACTTCCTAACCCCGGGGGAACGCGTTGGCGCGCTCTCCTACGGTCCTGGGGGCAAGGGAGGGGAGGGATGTAGGACCCCGACGGTCACTTTGAGGCGCCGACGCTCAGTTATCAGCCCCCAGGGAAGCCGAGGGGGTGTCAGAGAAAGTGTGTGCGTGGTGCTCGCGCTTGTGCTTGGGGGCGGCGGGGAGACGTCCTGGGGCGTCCGCAGCCCGGCTGGGCAGGCCTGTTGTCCCCAGTTCCGCCTCGGTCTCCCCTGCTTACCTGGCTCTGGCAGAAGCCGCAGCAGCGAGGCCCGGCTGGAAAGCGGCGGCGACCCCGGACAGGACGCGGCCGGAGTGCAGAAGGGCCATGGCGGGCGGCAAGAAGGCAGTGGGTCGCAGCAGGACGGAGCGCAGGGCCAGCGGCCGTCGACACGGAGGCGCGGGCTCCGGCTGAAGGTAAGGACAGCGACTTCCCCGGGGGCGGCTAGAGCGGCCGCCCGCCGGCCCGAGGGTCGTCACAGCGCACCCTGGCGAGGCCTCCTGCGCCGAGCGGTGTGTGTGGGCTCGCCGCCGAGTTGGCGTCCCCGGGACCACGTGGTTCCTGAGAACGGTGACCGCGCGGTTTTTCGCGGTTCGCGGCGCCGGAAAAGCTTTCGTTTAATCACGACGGACCGGACGGTAGAGCTGCTATCGTGCCAGTTTGAAAGCTGGGAAAATGTAGGCTGGTGTAGGCTAAGTACTTTGCCTCCGGCCTTACGGCCAGTAACCAGGGTTGCCGGTCCTCAGTCTTGCCTAAGGGCAAATCACCTCGCCTTCCTCCTGAGTTTCCTTAATCCCTGTTTGTAGAGGATAACGGGCGGGTCTCGTGGGGGTATTTGTGAGGATTAGGTGAGATTAGCCGATTATGTCTAAAAACAGCCTGGTTCAGTAGCGCAAGATAACCCGTGGTTACTAATGACAAACTCGAGTTTGTCAAATACTTGCAGTTGTGTGTGGAAGGGATTAATCACTTTTAAAGGAAAAAGTGAGTGAATTTGAGATACCAGAAGTTGAAGAACGATGCAAACAAGTCCGCTCTAAAGATCGGCTGTTTCTCTGACACTTCTAAAAATCCCAGGTAGAGCTGTGTCCCTTGCCGACTTAATTTATTTCCTGGGGTATCTCACTGCCTGAATGAATAAATCCAAACACCTATCCCAGGTCGTATTCTAGGCCCTTCCCAGTCTAGCCCCAGCGAACTGTCTCAGACTCAGACTCACTTGCTCTCTCCCTGAACTCAACCTGTGCTCCCCCAGGCCACAACTTTGGATTCCACCACTTTGGATTCCTCCACTAGATTAGCTGCTCTAACAAAGTACCACAAGCTGGGTGATTTAAAACAACAGAAACGTATTCTTCTACAGTTCTGGAGGCTAGAAGCCCAAAATTGAGGTGTCAGTAGGGTTCATTCCTTCTGGAGTCTCTGGGACGGGAATCTGTTCCCTGCCTCTCTTCCAGCTTCTGACAGTTGCCAGCAATCCTTGCCAGCAAGCAGTTCCTTGGCTTGTAGATACGTCATTCAATCTCTGCCTCTGTCTTTTTTTTTTTTTTTTAAAGATTTTATTTATTTATTTGAGAGAGAGAATGAGAGAGAGAGCATGAGGGGGGCGAGGGTCAGAGAGAGAGGCAGACTCCCTGCTGAGCAGGGAGCCCGACGTGGGATTCGATCCCGGGACTCCAGGATCATGACCTGAGCCGAAGGCAGTTGCTTAACCAACTGAGCCACCCAGGCACCCATCTGCCTCTGTCTTCACATGGTATTTTCTTCCCTGTGTGTATGGCTGGGTCTCTTCTTTTCTTGTAGGACATGACTCATATTGGATCAGGGCCCACCTTAATGGTTTCATCTTAAGTTGCCAGTAACCAAGGTTGCTGGCATCTTGCAAATTAGTCACATTCACAGGTACCTGGGGTTGGAACTTAAACCTATACTTTGGGGGGATGCATTTCAACCCATAACAATTACTATCTTTAAGACCCAGCAATTATACTTCGAAGTATAGATCTTGGAGACCTCACACATGTATAGGATGTTAGTGAAGCATTGTTTACAAAAGAAAAACACAGGAAACAACCGAGTGGCTCATCAACAGTTAAACAGATGTGCTGTTATAGTCACATAATGGAGTGCTATAGAACTACTAATGTGAATGAGCTCAATTTTTAAAAAAGATTTTATTTATTTATTTGACAGAGAGAGAGAGTACAAGCAGGGGGAGGAGCAGAGGGAGAGGGAGAAACAGGCTCCCTGCTCAGCAGGGAGCCCGATGCGGGGCTAGATCCCAGGACCCTGCGATCATGACCTGAGCCAAAGGCAGACGCTTAACCAACTGAGCGACCCAGGCGTCCCACTAGTTTACTTTTATATCCAGTAACTGAAAGACCCAGGAGCCCCTGAATGAGCTCAATTTATAGGCATCAACATAGATAAACCTCAAAAACATTAAAAAAGCAAGCTGCAGAACCCTTTACGTCAGATTTAAGATATGCAAAATCATTTCATATATTCATTCGTTAAAGTATGTATAAGTTTGAAAAAAATACAGGATCAGGAGGGGATAATAGGGTGTTTGCCCTTGTGGAGGGGATGGCACAACTTTGTCATATTTGCTTCATAAAAAATTACAGATAATATTAACAGTCATCATTTTGGGTGTGTTTATTTGTTATACTGGTTTCTGTAATATATATATTGAACTCCCTCATTCGACAGCTAATTTGAGTTACTGGTAGGAAAGATAGATGGGGAGGGACAACTCTTATGAAGTAGAGAGAAGGCTGATGCAGTAATCCAGGCAAGAAATTCTGATTGCCTGAGTTCAGGTGGAAATAGCAATTCCGGAAAAAAGGTTACAGATCTGGGATCTATCGATGAGGTAGATAAAAAGGGTTTGGTGAGTAGATGCAGGAAGAGGTGGAAAAGGGGTTCAAAATAATTGCCAATATATCAGTTAAAATTGGGGTTGTCTACAAGTAATAGAGACCCCAAATAATTGGCTTGAAGGAGATAAAATTTACTTCTCTGACATAAAAATCCAGAGATAAGTAGTCCAGGGCTGGCACGGCATTTCTGCCCACAAAGTCCTCAAGGACCCAGGTCCTTCCGGCTTGTGACTTGGAGCTCCCTGGGTGTGGCCATCGCCCAGTATTCTGAGGTGGTAGCAACAACCTTAGCGACATGTCTCCAGTCCAGGCAGGAGTCTCAAGGAAGGGGCAAAAATAAAAGATAACAGTGCAGAGGGTTCACTCTATCTATGTAGATATTTAATTTTTTAATTTTTTAAAGATTTTATTTATTTATTTGAGAGAGAGCAAGAGGGAGTGCAGGAGCATGAGCAGGGGAAAGGGAGAAGGAGAAGCAAGGCTCCCCACTGAGCAGGGAACCCCATGTGGGGCTTGATCCCAGGACCCTGAGATCATGACCTGAGCCAAAGGCAGAGCTTAACTGACTGAGCCACCCAGGCGCCCCACACTAGCTATTTTTGAAAGGCACTAAGAGGAGGAGACAGAACATGATAAAGATCAGATGGAGGAGAGGGAGCCCAAGGAGGGCCCAAGGGGGAGGACTCAGTTCTAGCAGGGAGCTATCTCGTGTCAACAGGGATTGACAAAGAAAAAGCTTCACTGGCAAATTAATAACTCCTCTCAATCCAAAGCCCCACGTTCTCTACTCCAATCCTGTTAAAGTCATAACTTCTAGAACTCTAGAAACCGAAAAGGTTTTCAGAGCTCATTTAGGACAGTGCTTCTCACACTGTAGTGTGCATCAGCACCACCCAGGGGTCTTGTTAAAATGCAGATTCTGATTCAGCAGGTCGTGGGAGGGGCCTGCAGTTCTGCTCTTCTAATAAGCTCCTAGGTGAAGCCAATGCCGCTGGCCAGTGGACCACATTTTGAGTAGCACAGATCTAAACCATACCTTGCCAGCCCTTTATAGGTGTCCCAGGAAGCTGTGTCCCCATCTCCAGGCTTCCCACTACATACATGGAAAATCTGAGGCCAGAGAGGGACGAATTGCTTCAGGTCACATAGCCAGCTGGGGATTAAGACTAGAATTAAAAGCACGGATGAAGGGTAGATTCCTTTTACCAATTTCAGCACCAATTACAGATATTTGGGAGGATCCTCAATCTGTTCCCAGCCCTGAGTCAGCCCTCTGGTCACCTGCCCAGGAATCCAAGCTAGAGGATAGATGCCGTGGGTCAGCCGTCAGGCTGCAGGCAGAAAAGAGTTGGTCTCCCCCAGTCTAGAGGACGGAAGACCCCGAAAGAAAGGGAGAGTTCTGCAAAGACTCATGGCTCTTTTGGGGAGCCCTCTGATGATCAACACCTGGGTGGTTGAAGGAGGCAGGATTGGGTAGAAGGAGAAGCTGTGCCAACAGCAGTAACAAGGATCTGAGACTGTAATGGCCCCAAAGAGTTGTCCTGAACTGGGGCAATGGGGCCTGGCTTTTTTTTTTTTTTTTGAGACAGAGAGAATGACAAAGAGAGAGCACATGAAAGGGGGGAGGGTCAGAGGCAGAAGCAGGCTACCTGCCGAGCAGGGAGCCCGATGCGGGACTCGATCCCGGGACTCCAGGATCATGACCTGAGCTGAAGGCAGTCGCTTAACCAACTGAGCCACCCAGTTGCCCGGGCCGGGCTTTTATACCTCTGCATCGACTCCCCCTCCCAGACTCCCTCTCACCCCATCCCGCTGAGTGACCTTGCCTGGGCAAATGAATGCTACAGTGGAAAGAGAGGCCAGGGGACCTGAGCAGCACCTCACAGCATCTGGTACATAACTGTATATAGAACCTCTAAGGAGAGAATATTCGAAGTGCCTGTGTGTGTGTGTGTGTGTGTGTGTGTGTGTGTGTGTGTGTAGCTGTAGATACACATGTCTGTCTTTGGTGTTTATGGAGGGCATGCATGTGCACTTGGGGTGATTGTGTTTAAGTGTGACCCTGTGTTTGGCATTTGTGTGCATATGTGGAAGTGAGTGGTGTGTGTCTCCGAGGGTGTCTGTGTGTGCCCGTTTGCATGCGGGTATTCGGTATGTGGCAGTGGTGGGGACTGGTTGTGTGCCAGCTTTCGAACCCATCAGGCAAGAAGCTCTGTGGCCCCTGTCCCTGAGGAGGACAGAGGAGGCCAGCTTAGCCAGGGTAGGGGGTGCTGGGCTGCCTCGGCGGCCTTGGGTGGAGAAGGGATAGTGCTGGTCGAGAGGGCCACTCTCATCTGAAGAGGTAGCCCTTTCTTTGGACTGCCCAGAGTCTTTTGTATCCTCCCGACCCTTGCCCTCTCTGCCCAGCCTGCCCCAGGAGAAATGCAAAGCCTCAGAAGAACGGCTGGGGGATGTCTAGGGGAGGGCAGCGCCCTGCCACCGTCAGCCTCCTCCTAGCAGGAGGCAAGAGTGGGTAGTTTCTGGTGACTGGGGCCCTCCTCGGGGTGGGAGACCATCTCCGGAGCCCCCCCAGAGTATCC